AAAAAGAAAAGAAAAAAAACCCCAAAGAACTGACTCAGAAATTACTTCAACCTATTTTGTTTAGTAGCCTAGGAGATTAGAATATAAGATTAAAGACTAGTCAAGAAGAAGGAACCAAACACTAAAGAATAGGAGTTAACTGTTCAATACAAGATCCAGAATAGATATGGAAAACTCTGGAACTATCTAACATACATCACATTTTCATATACTACACCTAACAGGTACTAAAAGTGTCTTTTAACAAGTTTGAACTGCAGTATCTGAAGAAGGTGACATAGCTTTAAAAATATATTCTTAGACTGGGTGCAGTGGCTCAAGCCTGTAATCCCTGCACTCTGGGAAGGCTGAGGCAGGTAGAGTGCCTGAACTCACAGGCTGGAGACCAGCCTGAGGAAGAGTGAGACCCCGTCTCTAAAAATAGCAGGGTGTTGTGGTGGTTGCTAGTACTCCCAGCTACTTGGGGGGGGCTGAGGCAAGAGGATCACTTGAGCCCAATAGTTTGAGGTTGCTGTGAGCTGTGACACCATGGCACTCTACTGAAGATAAGAGAGTAAGACTCAAAAAAAGGAAAAAAATATCTATCTATATTCTTGACTTGAGTCAAGGACATTTAAAAGGAAATTAGGATAAGCCTAAGTGTTAAAACATGAAAGTAATATCCAGTTGGTTTCAGACAGCTGGAAAGAGGGAAACCAAATCTAATGTGTTGTGTGTGTGTGTGGGGGAGGAGCTGTGATGCCACATCACTCTACTGAGGGTGATAAAATGAGACTCTGTCTCTAAAAAAAAATTAAAAAAAAAAGAAAAGAGAAGAAAAATATTCCAACACTTCGCTCACTTACCTGTTCTATATAGGTCTGTTATCACTTCTTTAATGACAGTTAGTTAAATTTAACAAATCTGAAGTTAAAAATAAACTCTACAGCTTGGTTATATCTAAAAATAAAGCACAAGAAGAAACAGAATATTAAAATTATCTCAAATTTTTAATTACCTTTCTCCTTTTTGGCGTTTTAAGTTTCCTTTGTACTCATCCCAGGTGCTTTTGTCGGCAAGAGCACCAGAAACAAAATCTTGAAGATCTGGT